TCATGTAGGAAAAAGTTACATCAAAACTTAGCAACCATTTCAAGTTTTTTTCGTGGTCTGCAAAAATTATTTTCAAGTACCGATCCAAAATCCCCAACAAATGAGTTGACTGCGATTCATCGTAAGCCTGCCCATCTTCTAGAACTTTTTCATAACAAATTTGTTGCCAGGAGCATAGATGACGCAGGTGTTGAGGATCACAAAAGCTGGTACAAGGATGATTCTCGAAAGAGCTGGTCTGGCCGGTATTATCCCGCGAAGGACCTTAGGAAGGCTGGAATCCATTTCAAGCCAAGCAACACAAGTCTTTTCACCGATGTCAGCTTCAGGCCAACATTACTCGCTGGAAGACTCTACATTCCTCCGCTAAGAATAGATGACTCAACCAAGCCCTTGCTCTTAAACCTTGTAGCCTATGAAGCATGTCTTGGTACCCGCGATGATTGGGTCACTTCCTATGTATGCTTCATGGATTCATTGATTGATCATCATAAAGATGTGAAGGAGCTGCGATCTAAAGGCATACTCATCAGTACTCTTGGAAGCGACAAACAGGTAGCAGAACTCTTCAATGAGATATCTGATTATTTAGTACCTAATCCCTATGCATACTCCAAGGTTAAAAGAGACATCGAAAATCATTATAGAAACGGCATCAAGCGATGGATCCTTCATTATAAGGGTCCTATTTATACCTTCATTTTCAAGTACTCATTTATTTTCGGCCTCATAGTGACTGCCTTAAAAGCCTACGTATCAGTAGTTCCCATGAACCCAGTTTTTGGTGTCTGCAAAATGCCTGCCGCAAATGCTACCCTTTACCCTTAAATGCCCTATGCGTGACTCTGTGTTTTTCATTTGCTGTGTAGATTATTTAACTATTTGCTCGGTGTTGCACCTCTATGTATTATCCGAAAGTTCCCGTGCGTGTTATGAATTCTTGAGAGTTTATAAATTTTTCTCTTTGATGCTTAATATGTTTATGTCACGACCCGAATCCCGAATCCATGACCGGCACATAAGCAAGGTTCCCCTCTAAGGTTCCATACCTATGCGAACCCAAACTTACACACAAACTTATCCTAACTCAATCAGAGTTCAACACAACATTAATAACAAAATCAACTTCATAATATAATTGAATTGTCTTAATACAAGAGTTAATATAATTTTATAGTTTTGGAGCACTAATTAGACATAAAGGAAAATGTACGAATTACAACCAAAAGAGCAGGTTCTGAAGGTCCAACAAAAGTGACCTGCTATCAAGCTATAAGCTTGAAAATGATAAATAATGAGAGTGTGAGTTCAACAACTCAGTGAGTAGATAACGTTCAATATACACACACGAGATAATACAACAATGAGAAATATATATACAAGTATGACTTTAGGTTCTTATAAAAAGGTTTCTCAAATAGGCCATAACAAGAATATCATATGGTAAAATCGTCAGAAAATCAAAATGCAATGAGCATGAGGCTCCGTACTGTGGGATGATCAGTCCACACAGGTTGGTGACTCCCCCGACCAACTAGGGTTCAGATACGATGTGCACAAAGACTAACACTACTCTGTTAGCATGGGTATTCTGACTGACATACCATAGGGTCATAATCATACTCAAACAGACATATTAATATCTCAAGGCTCAACTCATGACATCAATCAAATGAGGAGCTATCAATTCAGAAGTCAATCCAAAATACATACTGGTTCATATCAAGAATTCAGATTCAACAAATGATCATGCTTATCATAACAAGGATAATAGTCGCCATATATATTATCAAGAAGCATGATCCAATTCATATTAACAAATTAAATATTTATAATATTTCTCTTGCATATGGAAAATTATCCACTCACCTGACTCGAAAGCAAACAGAAATCAAAAGCAAACACCAAAGAAAATCCTACTGACGTCCTGCCGGTAGAATATCAGGATTATCTGAATACAAATGAGACATATTCAAGAATGACTCAAAAGAATATATAACCTATTTAATACATTTATTTAAGGATATATTCCATAACCCTATATATTTTTGAACTAATTAGTTATATTCCAAAAACCCAAAAATTAACGGTTTTCTCAAACTCTAATCCATAATAAAACAAATAATAAAATTGGTAATACTTCACTAACTAACCCTCAATTATTCATCAAACCCATCTGCAAAATCTAATATTACAGCTAGGGACTAATCTGTAATTTCTCATATTTTTAAGGGTCAAATTGTAACTTTATCCATTCGGAGGACCAAACTAAAATTATCATAAGTCCATGACTATACTGAATTTTGACCATAATTAATCCTCATTTCTGTCCAGATCACCTCATTATACTCCAGGGACCATTCTGTAATTTTATCAAATTTTTAGGGTCAAATGGTAATTTTTGTCAAATTGAAGGACCAAATTGAAAGTGTTAAAATTTCATAACTATACAGGAATTCTGCCCATAATTTATCTTTTATTCTGTTCAGAATCTCGGAATATGCCCCAGGGACCAATATGTAAATTTTTTAAAGTTTGGGGACTAAACTGTAATTTCCACAAATTGAAGGACCAAAATGAAGTTTCGTCATCTTCAACCTCCAACCCAGAATTTCAACAGAAACCCACTGTTCTTTCCTTATTTCTAACATAATTTCACCATTCAAACAAAATCATAACTTAAAATCATCATCTTTCAATTCAATCTCTCAAAATCCACCAAATAATCCATTACCCATAACAATCAACCCATAACATTCAATTAATTCATCAATCAAACCCAAAACACAAATTTTCAAAACCCTAACATTTATCAAAACCAAAATTAAAACTTAATCAACACATATTTATATATAATCTTACCTTTAAACTTATTTCCTTCAACTCCTTTCTATTTTTCTTCTAATTTCCCTCTTTTCTCTTCTTCTTCTTTCCCCCTCCTCTCTCCTGCCGATTCTCTCTCAAATTTTCAGATTCCTTTTCTGTTTTCTTTTCTATTTCCTGCCGATTCTCTCTCAAATTTCAGATCACTTATTTT